GATATCATTGGTTAAAAGACCTATTATATTAATTAATTAAACTTAATTAAATTCTTTAATTTTTTAAGCATGTAACTGCTTGATGTTTATATCTAAAGAAAATATAACTAGATTGTGGGTTGCCTTCAATGCGAAGAGATGGCGCTGCCTTGCAGCTTAAGAATAGCTAGAGAAATTTCGCGGTAGCATAATTGGCTAGTGCATTGACCCGGATTGCGAAGGGTGCGGGTTCGAGTTCCGCCTGCTGCTAGTTATATTTTCTTTAGATATAAACTTAATTAATTCAAGTATGAATTGTATCCAGTAACATTGCTTAGCAATATAAACTGCAACATAATATGCTACACATTTGAAGCTCATAGCATCATGTATTGCAAAATAATTGACAGGATAATACCGTGCAGACTCCGTCCCTTCGCCTACAATCATTGACGTTTTCAGTTTCATCCTAGAGATCACCTTTAAGGGGGTGAATAGCGGGGGGGGTGTTTGTATAATATGTATTTGTATTTAACGATCAGTCACATGCTAAGAATACATTTCCACATAATTATAACATAGCAAAAATGTCTAACCAATTTAAAGGTAAATGATATTTTAAATATTAAAGCATTTGAATTACTGTCAAATTACATTTTGAAATATTTTCCTGTCAAAATTCGCTTCACCTCTGCTAACAGCTAGTTCAAAACAAATCAAGGTTATCAGACGTTGCATTGTTGAAAAGTCTAACTGCTAATAAAAGAATTCTGACGAAACTTACTTCGAGCAGAAAGTGCATGTAAAATGGCTAGTTGCTAATGCTGGTTAATTTAGGTTTTATATATTAACCAGGGGCCCGCCCTCGCTTCACTTCGGCGTAGACTACAGTTTTTGTTCTCAGGCTTGTATTATACACAATGACATTCATCTATGATTCTTCTTATACCTGCATGCAAAGTCTCAGCCCGATCGGTTTAAAATTGTCAAAGTTTCATACAAGCTTTCATTCCCTATTTTATCCCCTTGGGGGTAGAATTGATCAAAATCCTTTCCTAGCGGATGCTTACGTCATAACATCTACTTGCAGGCCAAATTTCAGCCCGATCCGTCCAGTGGTTTGGGCTGTGCGTTGATAGATTACTATGTCAGTCAATCACCTTTGAGTTTTATATCTTTATATATATAATTCTTCTGTGAGTGTGTATGTCACTGAACTTCTCTTAAACGACTGGACCGATTTTGATGAAATTTTTTGTGTGTGTTCAAGGGGATCTGAGAATGGTTTAGATTCACAATTTTGTCCGCTGGACAACCCCTATTTTTTAGGGCGGTACGAAGTTCGCTGGGTCAGCTAGTAATATATAGATTACATCAAAGTAACCCTTAACATAAAATTGCGTACTAATAATGCTTCTTAAATTTTCTATTAACTACATTGCCATTTTAAACGCAATCTGCACACTTTATCGTGAATTTTTGCACAATGTTTATTCATCATACTTTACGAAAAACACAATGGACAATGTCAAATAAAACCCCTGAACTTTGTTAGGACCCGGATTCGGCAAATACAGATAGAATGCCTAATTGCATATTAAACAATGGCTTCCATTTTACGTTTTACAAGTATTTTTTATAGGACAAAGTGGCAAATATAGCGGGCTATGGTAAGCGGCAAAATAGCATCATCATCATCATCATGAGCCTATTAATGTCCCCACTGCTGGTGCACAAGCCTTTCATATGGATGGAATAGGGAAATTGGGCCATGACCTACCACGCGGGCCCAGTTGGCGGGTGCGCCTTCCGAAGCACGGAGGAACTCAAGATAGAAGATTTTTGGTCACCCATCCATGACTGACCACTACAAAAGTTGCTTAATTGCAGGCACCTGAAGCAATATTTACACTGGAATATAGGCTGGAAGACAGTGACGGGTAAACAAAAGAAATTAGGCCATGACATACCACGCGGGCCCAGTGCGGATTAGCGGGTGCTAACGACTGCAGATGCAGCCGGGACCAATGGCTTAACGTGCCTTCCGAAGCACGGAGGAACTCGAGATAGAAGATTTTTGGTTACCCATCCAACGACCGACCTTGGTCAGTGAAAACCTGGAAACATGACTTACCGATAGAAACATATCACCGCTAAAAAACATGCAAATCGGATTAGAAATCTCAGACTAATCCGTGTACATCTTCTATAATATAAAAATGAATCGCTGAATGTGTTGCTAAGCGCAAATCTCGAGAACAGCTGAACCGATTTCGATAATTCTTTTTTTAGAATATTCCTTGAAGTACAAGGATGGTTCTTACGCAGAGAAAAATTAAAAAAAATAGCCTGAAAAAGTCAAAAAACAGCACTTTCTATACTCCCATACAAACGATTCGTAATAATACTTAAAAGTCAATTTGAACTTTAATATAAATAATTTCAAATGTTAGTGGCGAGGTGCCGGGAAGGCAAAACAATCGAGTGGACCGAGCGTTTTGGCGGTAAATTCAAAACAATTAAAAATAAATTCAACTTTAATTGTTTTAATGGAGAAATGAAGACATAAATTAATTAATTTTTATTTTTCTGTTGAATCGCTTGTCCTCAATATAAGCAGTTTTCAAAATTTTGGAAAATAACCTATTACATGTCGCCGTTAATCCGTTTTTGGGTGCACGAAAGACTATACTCGAATTCGGGCACCCAAACCTTGAATTTACACTGGAATACGAGCTGAAAGACAGTATCGGGTAAACAAAATGAAATCTACCCAAATACGGGCGTACTCGATTCTGTTCATTTACACTTAGTCGTTTATAGGAATGTCGAAAGTTGAAAAAAATATCGATATATCGATACATCGATATTTTAAAAAAATATCAATATCGGCTTCGATATATCGCGAAAAAAACATCGATATATCGATATATCGGACCAATTTTCCCAAAAATTTATTTAGGTCAGTCTAGCACAGTAATAATAACAATACACATTATAATTAAAGAAAGAATTATCAAAGTACCAAATTGCCGATACACTACATGACAGTACAGTATCTCACGAAATATGGCACGCGGAATAATAATGAAACGAAAATTATCTCCCTAAAAGTAGACCCGATTTTCGAATGATTAAATTAATGCAGGGCCTCTCAGGTGTCATCTTTCGTAAACAAGACTAGACAGTCACACACTTCCACAGAATATAATGGAATTCAGTGCAACCAATTCACCAGCGAAACAGATTTACAAATAATAGACAATACTAAATACAGCACAGATCATAGATATGTTGAATATCATTAATCTGAGATCCAGTTCCGATTTTTCCAGATACGAATTTAGTTAGATCGTGATATGCCGTTAATAATATATATAATAATTAAAAAAATATCGTTTTTGATACGAATTTCGATATTGGTTATTTTGTATCGATGTATCGATATATCGAATCAAAATATATCGGCAAAAAATATCGATATATCAGACAAAAAATATCGATACATCGATATATTTTCAACAAGCCTAGTCGTTTACCCGAATTCCATTGGCACTCTTATTCGGGCTAGCGACCTAGTGTAATCGCGCCATAAGGTAAAGATTAATAATCCAGACGAGTGCTCTAAGGCCCGTATTATAGAAAACATTCTCAGTGATTGATCTAGTCTTGAGCATAGTTAGAAATGGATGTCGCTATATATAGCACATAGTGACATCCCTTTCTATCTGTACTCAAGTAAAGATCAACACTTAGTTATCATTCTGTAATACGGGCCTAAATCGAGCAGATAATCCACTATGTCCTATCCACCTATATTTTGATGTGCACCATGGAAAATATGTAACGAAAGTATGTTTACTCGTCTCAGAGCTTGCTCTGCAAACTTCATTATATATTGCCTTGTATCTTTATGAAGAACTAGCGGCCCGCCCTCGCTTCGCTTCGGTGTAGAGCTGAAGTGTAGACTACAGTTTTTGTTCTCAGGCTTGTATTATACACAATGACATTCATCTATGATTCTTCTTATACCTACATGCAAAGTCTCAGCCCGATCGGTTTAAAATTGACAAAGTTTCATACAAACTTTCATTCCCTATTTTATCCCCTTGGGGGTAGAATTGATCAAAATCCTTTCTTAGCGGATGCCTACGTCATAACATCTAGCTGCCAAATTTCAGCCCGATCCGTCCAGTGGTTTGGGCTGTGCGTTGATAGATCACTATGTCAGTCAGTCACCTTTGAGTTTTATATATATAGATAGGGATAATTAAGTTGTTATATCGTCCAAACACAACGCAATATTATATCGACACGCATAGAAATTAACTACAATTAGTTTTTTATCTGGCTCATTAAAATCATCAACTTTAACATCCTGATGTTCACCGACTGACCTTAAGACGAATTCAAAGTTGCGTTTATTTGTTTTGCTTCCTCTGTTCAGACAGATCGTATCACCTAAGTCAGCCTCTTCCTTGGGTCCGATTAATCGCGAGCTCCGTGCGAAACTATCCATTGTCGAATTTATCGTGTCGAGGCTACCTCTCATAATACCAATGACAAGCTCAGACAATTGTTTAGTTAGGTGCCAGCAATTAGACAAAGCCGAGGTTAATGAAATTCTAACTTAGGACTTCCCGAGCGCCTATTTAAAGTATTTGCTTTAAAGTCCGTCTTTACTTTATTGGTTTTCGTGAAATGCTACGACTATAGTATTTATCATACATCTCTCTTGGGATACGATATCATATTTTTATCACTTTTCAAGAAAAACTAACCAAACTAGCCTCACAAATCTTTAGGAATTATCTTGTGATAATTTTTAACATATAGTGAACGATTTCATCGTTCGCAAATTAAAAATATTATCATAATAATTATAATATTTTTGGCGGGATATATATATCTAATTACAATTATGGATTTATCTGAATATACAGGTATTTAACCTGGTTATGGCATCTTAACAGACAATAGAAAAATGTTACAATAAGTGGAAACAACTACAATTGTTTTATTTTTTGTTTCAGGATCATAATAGACAGCTCTTGAATCACCTCACCAATGCAGAGAAGATTTTTCTATTTGGTGCCAACCCAAATGGTGAGAAACTTATGCACTCTCTAATAATTTAATGATAAATGAATGAGTCACGCGTTCTATTGTAGGAACTCGCAATTATTTTCATATTATAATACTTTAAGTTCAGTCAGACTCATTTAAAAAAATCGTCTAGGTGTTATATCTTTACAAGTAAAGATGAAATTTATTAGTTGTCTTGTTCTATTATTAGTTATCGTGAGAAAATTTACAACATAAATACTTATGAAAATGGTATTGATGCTAACGAGTGTGACCGTGAATATTCCAAACTTAATTTAGATCAAATTATGCTGTTATAAACATTCAAAATAATATTATGTTTATAATTACTATTATTTACCTTCCACAGAAGCACAATTTGAAATAGCACACTTAAAACTGCGAAAACGTCGCAAAAGATCTTTGTTTCACGAGGATCAAGATCTAATCGAGCTTAAAAAATATTTAGATGTGAAATTGAGTCCTAGAAACAGTTTCCTAGACCCTCAGTTCCTGCTGATGAAAAGGTGGTCCAATACTACAGAAGCACTTCTTGATCAGCACACTGATGAGGAGTTAGATCAGTGTTATTACAAAAGCGATAATGCTGCACTTTATGTCTGTGAAGATGTGGTAAGCTATACTTCACAATTAATGAATTTAATCTTAATTTATGAATAATTAAGTTTTAATATAATATTCATATTTGTTATTTACAGCGAGGTTTAGTCAAATCAAATGGCAGTTACTACATAATTCACCCGTTACCAGACAGATTTCACAAAGATGATTCTAAGATACATGTTATAGTCAAACGTAAATTAACAGATCCAATCAAAGAAGAAGAAACTGAAGATGTTTGCATTGAAAGAGAAAAACTTGATATTTCAGAGACTCCACTAAATATTAAAACTTGGAGCAAACACAGAAGAAAAAGAGAAATTTCTGTTGATGAAAAACAAAATCATAATAGTTTAAAAGACTTTAAATTAAGCTTAGAACATAGGAATAAAACAATTGGAGCATTTTTACAGAAACTAGTGACTGATCCTAAAAGACAAAAAAGGGCGATACTACCCGCTATTTTTGTTGAGACAGCAGTATTTGTAGATAGAGATCTTTATAAACATATGACAGTGAATTTTCCCAAGGACACGGAGAGGGAATTAGTTAGATTCGTTTTAGCTATGATTAATGCCGTACAGTTGATATACCATGACCCATCGCTTGGAAGACCAGTGAATTTTATCCTTAAAAGGCTGGAGATACTACACGAGGATCCTGTTAACTTAAAAAGGCCTCATGATATAGATAGGTTTTTGAGTAATTTTTGCACGTGGCAAAGGTTAGAAAACCCACCCGGTGACAATGATCCATTACATTGGGATCACGCTTTGATTTTGACTGGATTAGATTTATACGTTGTAAATAAAAATGGCAAAGTCAGCAGCCAAGTTGTAGGTGAGTAATGCAAAGTTTCAATTTCATTTTAATAAATCCAAAATAATGGACCTACTTTAATGACCACCACTGCAATACTAGAAACAATGAAGGAAACTGTAATGAGAAAGCCAAACCAAATTTTATTTGAAAGCGTATTCTTTTGTAATATACCATCCCACGGGTAACCATCAAGGTAGCAACAAAGCGTCAATTTATCTAAGAGTAGTCTAATAAATTACCTTAACATTCTATGTCTAATAAAAATTGCTTTAATAAGAATATGATAACACCAACCAAACACATTACAGATCAATCCTATTATGAATACTTAATTGGTTGAAATTCAAAATTGGTATCGGTGCAATTGTTATAAACACGACTCATCAGAAATTGTATTGGTCAATTTTCTTGAAAAAATGATAGATTATTAAATCTTAATATTTCAGGGTTAGCTCCGGTCGCTGGAATGTGCACAGTAACCAGCAGTTGCACAGTCAATGAAGGCAGACATTTTGAGAGTGTCTATGTGGTAGCCCATGAAATCGGACACAAGTTAGTATTTGTATATTTATTAAATTAGTGACTATGAAACATACCGTTATATTTATACCTTTATGAAATAATAGCATGATAGGGATTCTTAGTTAAAGGAGATCACCAGAAATGGCCGATATAATATATCAAGCGAAGTACAAAACGGAAAGAACTATGCGATATTAGGGCTCAAGTTTTTTTAGTTTGTAAGAAAACCCGTAATCTTAGAGAGTTCGTTAAAATATATCAGATAAATAAGCGACCTCCTTTCCAATCAGGTTAAAAGCGAAAACAGATCAACAATACAACATCAGAAAAACCTTTAGTATTTTTAGTACCAGAGGTCTTAAACTTATGTAATAAAGCAATACACTTTTTTATAATTTATTTCCTGATGTTTTAACTAGTCTAGGTATGCGTCATGACGGCCCCCAAGCTGACAACGGCTGCGATCCTAGCGCCTACATAATGAGCCCGACGTTGGGAAGTGGCAAGATCACCTGGTCTCAATGCAGCAAGAACTACCTACAGAAATTCCTTGAGTGAGTTCTATTCTACCATCGGTGATAGTGTTTATGAAGATCTAAAATGGTAAATTAAAGGACAAGATAAGGATTTTTTAAATATTAGTCAACTTTTACTAACTACAAACGATGCAATCCCGACTCGAGATCGTAAAGTCGAGATCTCGACCGCGGGATCGCGAGTTAAAAAAATCACATTACTGAATGCGATGAAAACTGCTTGTTTACGATTACGAGGTCAATTAGTGAGCCTTTAACCTTTAATAAAACTAACTAAATAATTATCCGTTTTACTAACATGAACATAATCAAAACAAAAGTAGGTATAGTATAACTCAAGGAGATTAAAACGTAGTTACGGGTGCTTTAAAAGTAACTTCTTAAAAACAAAGTATATCAAGACTATTTATTATCTGCTAACTGGCATCTTCAATCCGTTGCAATGTAGCCAGCTGCTGAGAATGCCCTCTCCAACTCAACACTTGTTGGCAACAGCGTGACTAATCAATTATGTATATGCAAACTGCAAAAATCTCCTCCACACTCAAATAAATCCATTTCTTTCTTTATTACTGACTCTAATTTATCTAAGCTTGTGGATTTGGATTGTCTGGATACATGTGTTAAAGGACTTTTAGACGCTCGCAGAGTTTCTTCTAATTCCTCTTGAAGTGAAGTATTAGTTTTTGTAGCAACGCTGACAGCCGCTGATTGCCACCCAATCCCGTCAATCCCGAACGGGATCTCGTCATATTATGCTTGGGGATTGATCCCGAAAAATTTTACGGGATCTTGCGAGATCGGGATTGCATTCCCTACTACAAACTAATTAACAAATATCACCATAGGCCGTTCAATAATTTTTTACTCAAGTTTATAATATACTTAGTCCTACCAAAGGTATTCAATGTACTCCATTCATTGATATAATTTACTTCGTTGTTAAACAACGGTTCCATTTAGTGACTTATGACGCAAAACGAAATACAACAAAAAAAATAAGTAAATGCTTACATTAGTAAAACAAGTGCATACAACAAAAGTACTTATCCACTTTCACGTTTACATAAGTACAATGAGTTTCGTATTCATTTCCCTAATAATTTTCATGGGAATTCAATAAATTGCATTGTTACGGCAAACTCAATAACTGCTGATTGTGCAAACATTACTAACTTTGCTATGATAGACATTTGATGATGAAATTATTCCGATCAGATGTTATGAATTGGAAAAGGAACTCGGAGCTATAGATAAGATTACACAACAAATTGTTACTTACAGCACAGTGCAGTCTCGATGCTTGCTCGATCACGGAAACTCGGCAGGTCAATTGGATCACAGTGCTGAAGGCATATTACCTGGAGAGAGATTTGACGCCGATCAACAATGTGAGTAATAACTAATCAGCCTGATTGCATACCCAAATTCCTAAACGTTTAATGAAACTGGATTTGATTCTCCTGTTCATACTTATAACCAAATCAGATAATCCAACTAAGCAAGTTGTTTCAGTAACTTAAAAATTTGAATAGTCGTCCAAAGTACAGCAAATCTGATTTTTTTTGAGAACATAAAACCGTCGTATGTAATTTATAAAATCAGTAATTACATACATGGAATCATTATAATTATTGCAAAATTTTGGTCACTTTTGAAAATAATGAAAGAATTACAAACAACCCAGGAAAAGACAAGAAGACTATAAAATTAAAAAAATACAGATAATAATTGAAGATCTTAGTTAAAACTGTTAGAAAATTTACTTCACCAGGCATGTTGAAGTATGGAAGAGGCAGTCGACACTCCAACGCGCAGAACTTGGAAGATATCTGTAGGGACTTACACTGCCAGAGGGAACGGTACACCTGGACTTCCCACCCAGCGTTAGAAGGGACCAAGTGCGGAGAAGATATGGTGAGTTCCGTTAATAATTTTAAACTAACAATTCAGACTTGAATGAAACCCAACCCAATGAAATGATATTTTCGGATTTTTTATTTCTATGGTCAAACTATGTGGGTCTCAAACAACGGGATAACTTTGAAGAATATATAATTAATGATTTTATTTATTTTTTAAGCATTTAACTGCTAGATGTTTAAATCTAAAGAAAAGTTTACTAGAAAAAATAATTTATTAATTATAAATTTTTGAGCTAAATCTTCAATTAATTCTAAAATTTTGAGCTGCGACTTGTGCTGACACGTGTGTTTTCTCGTACAACGCGCAGTATTGCCGCGGCGGCGAGTGCGTGGAGCGCGAGGGATCGAGCGTGGTGCGGGGCGCGTGGGGCCGCTGGTCGGGGTGGTCGGAGTGCGCCTCCGCCTGTCTGCTGGACGACTCGCACGCGCCCGCCGCCGCTGGCGTGGCCGTCGCCAGCAGGCGCTGTAGCAGGCCCAGGTGAGTGTCTAATAGAAAGGTGACAGTGGTACGAGGCGTGCGCCTGTCACCAGCATTCAGAGCTTAACTATTCTGGATGGTGGTGCGGTACTCTTCCCACAGATCTAACCTTAATCGCATTGATAATTTGTACTTAACAATCTCTTTAATCAATCTTCTACCATTCTAATCATGATTTTGTTTGTTTTTGTGTTAAAATTGTATTGTTATTATGATACAAGTGTATAAATATTCCCCTCTTCTCTTGTGACAGGTCTCTAACCCCATTATTTGTAATTTTATAGGCATGACAACGGCAACAACTATTGTTCAGGACACGATAAGAAATACCAATCCTGCCATGCGCATCAGGTAAGCAAACATTGTCAGTCCATTTGTATTATGCTCCCGGCTCAGTATACTTTTTCTTTTTAAGCCTCACACAATATATCTGTTTTCTAAATGTTAATGAAGTGAGTGTTGCTAGGATAATCTTCAGAAACGAAACATAATCATTCAGAAAAAAGATTTCAGTTAACTTTAACGTCTTTTTAGTGCAACAATGTACCGCGGATGACGGTGAGACAATTCGCGGACCAAATCTGTCTGAGAGCGCGAGACGTGGACCCTGACCTGATCGGTACTGGCCTTCAAAGGATTGACTCCGATGGTATGATGACTATAATTATTAAAATTATTAAAATGAACCTTGAGTGAGAAAAATTGAATTTCCACCAATGTAAAAAGTTATGAATACGCAAAATCTTCGCGTTTAAACTACCTCAGTGTCTAAAGACAAGAGTGTATTATGTTTGACGAGTTTATTAGATTTATAGATTATAGGCAGCAAATTGTTTAAAAATAGTGACAAACAAGTACTGATGACAAGCAGCCGGCATAGCCTATGAACGCCAATGCTAAACCATAGCCAGTGGAGCCTTGGAAACTTGGCTTACCGACAAAAATACAATAGCACCAAAAAGTATGTTCGCTGCGGCCTGTCTGGTTGGAGAATTAGATTTAGGTACGCATTATGGGGACTTTTTTTATTGTTTTGTTGGTTTTCTTTTGATCCCTATCCAGCCCAAGATATAGCGAGTTTCCCAAAAAAAGAGTCTGTTCAGTCTGGCTTAAAAAGGGTAGGATTCTATGCACTCTGAAACACAGTCGCCGGCAGGAAATTCCACTCCTCCGGTCCTTCTTTTATAGCGACTGGACTTCATGGCTTACACTTAATCATTAGTAGTATTTGCTAACTGTTTTTGACAAATGGAAGTTATAATACTACCTACACTAATGCTTTAACACCACTAAGATACTTCTTCCAAAAAGCATCAATGGATATGCAATTTTCTCTTTAGTTAGACATTGTCAAGGTCAAAAAAGTTAGCGAACAGACCAGCTGGTCGGGTAACATTATTTGTTCCGCGTCGTAATCAAAATATAGAGCTTACATTTTAAACTTCTAGATGTAAGCAGCGCGTGCGCAGTTTGGTGCGACACCAGAGGCGGTGGATATAAGTCCCGAGGATGGACGTTACCGGACGGCACCGCCTGCTCCAAGATGTCCCCCAAATTCTGCATATCCGGCGTGTGCCAGGTTAGACCGGGATCAGGATAATAGGGATGATGACTATTTTTTTTTGTTCGTTTATCAGATAGATTATCAAAAAGTATTGGACACGTATTTTCTTTTTTTTTTCACATAATATAAACATTGCAGAGATATATTGATTTGAAAAGTCGCATGACGTCACGTTTGAGTACACTTATAAGTGAAAATTCACTCAAAAGTGCCGTCACGAGCCCCTACTCCCAAACTTTGACGCGCTATAACTTTGCCATTTTTTGGTTGATTGCCCAAAGAAAAAATACGTGACCATTATTTTTTGATCATCTAACTGACGGACTAAATAGAATTTTTTTTACTGTACCCCGTCATCACCCCTATTGTTGATTTGTGACCACTGTTTTTTTTTATTCTGAGAATAGTTGAGAATTCTTGCTTTACTGTTACATTGGGAATTCTTGTATTGAAGTTTAGGAATACCTACACTTACGAAAGATCAATTCAATTCTCATAATGTTAAACTATCAATGGAGTAACTTGCTTTTGGTAAGTTAGTTAGCAGACAGTAGCCCAAATTGTGAGTCTGATGCGGATTTCATACCACTGGATCAATTTACACTATCCATCATGCCAGTATCGAGTAGTACTCGCTGACCTCGCATTCAGAATCAGTAATTTATCTTGCGCTCCACATCGTGTTTTCGGGAGCGGAGTAGGTACGACCAAATCTCTATCGCCTGAAAATTTTATGCAATATTTTTCTTTATGTTCTCTTGTAAGAAATTCACGTGCAATGGTAACGTCGACAACGAGTTCTCGCTGCGTCCCGGCGACTGCGAGTGGGAGGCGCTGCAGCTACAGACAGCGACCCCTTATACTACACCGTAAGTTTTTTATTATGATTATGATGTTATATTTGGAAGACTTTGTTATAATTAAGCGTGAATCATAAGTGGGTGACATGTGTGGAGTTGACTGCAAGCCTTCACTAGTAGACGAGGCACTCGAAGAAGATCTTGATGATATAAGTTCTAGTATAATTCCTATATGTAAATTGAGAATGCATTTAACCATCGTTTCAAGACTTGGAGGAATACCATCTTCAAGATAACTCATGATGAGACCCGTCTTTCCCAGTGGGCACTTTGGGCAAGTGCCCAGGGCCCCGCGATCGATAGGGGGCCCCCTCAGATCAAATTCAAAGTCCCTAGTTCCTGTTAAATCTCCAAACGGAAGTCATAGGGGCCCCATTATCCTAATATGCCCAGTGCCTCCAATAGGTCAAAGACATGATTCAGGTTCACTTTTCTGCCATAACATCTTTTAGCCCTAGTTCAGACAGCGGAATCCGCACGGATGTTAAACACGCGAAGCTTATTACAATGGTATGATACTAGGGCGTTCATACTACTCCTCGCGGATTACGACATCTGTGGATTAGCTAGCTCTTAAGCGGTTTTTTCAGGGTTAAAAACTCTTTCTGTTTTTTGTGCATAATCTCATTTTTAGCTTCTATGTTCAGTTCAGTTCCTATGTTGATCGTCGGAAACCTACTTCTCATTATTACGTCGCTTGTGCTTGTGTTGAATTCTGTTTAATTTAATAAACTCTCGATTCACACAGAGAAAATTCACCAGATCAGCCAGATCTACTTGGCTATATGAATTCACATATATGAAATATGGAGGAGGTGTATTTGGGAGTAACATGAGTACTGTTTGACGAAATCAATTACTGCTTTGCCAATTTACTAAGCATTTACTTACCCATTTGCAACAAATTTACTTAATCTCGATTTAACTAAAACTGGCTTAAGCTCAAACAAATATGTCAAACGTCAATTTGCCATTATTGTATGGCTTTAATCTAGTATTGATTAAACCGAGATTGAACAAAAACTTTCGATGATGGTCGATGAATGATTCGGTAGGACCAAGTCATCAGGCACGTGGCGTCGAGCAGTAGGCTCCCAATGGCGCGCCATCAGCGGCTGCCACTACCACTGCATCGCCCCGGGCGTGGGCGTGCGTTTGGTGCGCTCCCCGTCCCAGCAGCCCAGCATCCAGCTGTGCCGCCCCCAGCCACCCCGCCCCGCCCTGGTGAGTGCCGCCCTGCCCCGCGCCCCCACTACCACTGCATCGCCCCGGGCGTGGGCGTGCGCCTGGTGCGCTCCCCGTCCCAGCAGCCCAGCATCCAGCTGTGCCGCCCCCAGCCGCCCCGCCCCGCCCTGGTGAGTGCCGCCCTGCCCCGCGCCCCCACTACCACTGCATCACCCCACTGCTGGTTTATTATTCTTTTATTTATTCATTATCAGCCTATTTATGCCTCCACTACTGGAGCACAGGCTATTCCAATAAATGAAATAAGAAAATTAGACTTTGATGCACCACGATCACCTAGAGCTTAATCTGCAGATACAATCGGAACTAAGCCGGAAAAAGCTCTAGATAAGTAAAACATTTTAGGTCACGCATCCTATGACCAGCCATTGCAAAAATTGCGCAACTTCGTGGCCGTTGCGCAATTTTTGCAATGGCTGAAGTAACAGATAATCCTACAACTGAACTCCTAAAGTATCTTACTTAATAACAAACAACATTTCTTCCCATAAGGTAGAGGTTACTTCGACAGATAGGATCTCCAATTCAAGCGGAAATGTAGAACTATCATGTAATCCATCAACTACCCTCACTTCTTCTGATTCCAAAATCCAAAACTTACAATAATACACGTGTCACTCGTTCAAGCATTTGAAAAGATTCTTATTTCATGGTAGAACTAGTTCACATAACAAAAAATGGGTGCGTGTACTTATGTAGGCGCGTGAGAAGTTATCCTTCTTTGGCATCGTTTAAAATTAGTTTTTAATTGCATGCAAATAATTAATTACAATATATTAATAAAAAGTCTGGAAAAGGACACAGTCAATAAAGTTCAGTTTTAATTTGAAAAAATAAATAAATAATCAAAATATTCAATTAAAATCGCTACTGAATATAATTTATTAGAACATAATTATGTGATTTGCACTTGTATGAAACTCAAACACGTATTCCGAATATACTAACTAGAAACATGTGGATAAATATTATAAATATGAATACCTATAACTGTTACTTTATTACAAAAAATAAAGATGTGGTTTTTGGTTCTACTACACCAATGGTCAAGAGATGGCGCTGTAGTCTCCTGAATCGCGCTTTGGTTCCGTTGTTCCAGATTAATAAATACTTTTGATATCATAAATACGAATACCTATAACTGTTACTTTATTACAAAAAATAAAGATGTGGTTTTTGGTTCTACTACACCAATGGTCAAGAGATGGCGCTGTAGTCTCCTGAATCGCGCTTTGGTTCCGTTGTTCGAGATTAATAAATACTTTTGATAGGCCTTCACAATGCAGTCGTTAGCACCCACTAAATAGAGATTCTATTTCTATTTTGTTGGTAGATTTTCTTAATGTGCGGTAAACACAAAAGTAACGCATGAAGTTGGTCGCTAAAGCGACCAACTTCATGCTGTTAAAATTTTGTGTTACAGTGATGCGCGCGCATCTTAAAATTTCACTCTCATCATTTTTTCATAACGCGCCTAAAGAAGTATAACTTCAATAAATAGATTAAACGCTTAAACTGATGTAACGATCCGTCACGCAACATTACCAGCTCTTTAACATATATTATTTATTTTCTGACAGGGTTGCACTCAGCGTAAAACTCCGTATCAATACGCTACCATGGTGTGCACTAAATACAAGGAGAGGGTTAGAAGACTGTCCGGCTTGGGAATGCAGATATCTCCAGTGCCAGGTAAGTTATGTACGAAATTCATTTCGTTGTCACCATTTATAAATTTAAATTTCTTTGAAGCAACTAGTCAGCTCAGCTGTTATGAAACTTTACTCGCTCCAGGTCCGAAAACAACTCGAGAATCTTCCCCCTTTATTCCCCCATTTCTTCCAATAATGTTTCCATTTAGCCTCCTCAAGAACTTTCTTTCGCAAACTTTCTTGCTCGAATTACTGCAACTTGCTTTCCATTCCTTCAATCCTTCCATCCTTTTGTAGTCGATTTTGTTTATCAAATTTAACTTTAAATGTGCAACTTATTACTTTTTCGTTTTGACCACCCCTTTCAAGTTCAAAGTGAGACAGATATTTATGTTATGCTAATATTATAATATTTTCCAAAGGCTAAAGTTAGACAATTTAAATAACCCTATGATTATATAGTAATATACTTGTTCGGCTGCGATGAGCTGGAGGAGCTCGATAGCGCAAGTGGTTAGCGCGTTCGGCTGCGATCGTTGAAATTAAGCAACTTTCGCAGTGGTCGGTCATTAGATGGGTGACCAAAAATATACTATCTCGAGCTCCTCCGTGCTTCGGAAGGCACGTTAAGCCGTTGGTCCCGGCTGCATCTGCAGTCGTTAGCATCCACCAATCCGCACAGGGCCCGCATGGTGGGTCATGGCTCAAACTTCCTATTCCATCTATAGGGAAGGCCCCAGCAGTGAGGACATTAATATGCTGATGATGATGATGATATAGGCATATGAATTTCACCCTATTCTAATGTAATACGTACAGAGGATCCAGACCGACCTTGCCGTATAGCATGTCAAGACGAACATGCGCCTCATCGCTTCTACCTAGTGAACGGTCACGACGGGTGGTTCCCGCTGGGCACCGCGTGCGGCCGCAACAACGCCTCCTACTGCGTCAGCGGCAAGTGTCTGGTGAGTGCTACGTATGGGGAATGATCTCCAGTCAGTGCCTTATGTCACACACTATATAGCTGTCAATATGAACCGAAACAACGCCTTCTACTGCGTCAGCGGCAAGTGTCTGGTGAGTGCTACGTATGGGGAATGATCTCCAGTCAGTGCCTTATGTCACACACTATATAGCTGTCAATATGAACCGAAACAACGCCTCCTACTGCGTCAGCGGCAAGTGTCTGGTGAGTGCTACGTATGGAGAATGATCTCCAGTCAGTGCCTTATGTATCACATTATATAGATGTCAATATGAACCGAAACAACGCCTTCTACTGCGTAAGCATCAAGTGTCTGGTGAGTGCTACGTATGGGGAATGGTCTCCAGTCAGTGCCTTATGTCACACATTATATAGCTGTCAATATGAACCGAAACAACGCCTTGTACTGCGTCAGCGGCAAGTGTCTGGTGAGTGCTACGTATGGGGAATGATCTCCAGTCAGTGCCTTATGTCACACACTATATAGTTGTCGATATGAACCGAAACAACGCCTTCTACTGCGTCAGCGGCAAGTGTCTGGTGAGTGCTACGTATGGGGAATGATCTCCAGTCAGTGCCTTATGTCACACACTATATAGCTGTCAATATGAACCACAACAACACCTCCTACTGCGTCAGCAGCAAGTGTCTGGTGAGTGCTACGTATGGGGAATGATCTCCAGTCAGTGCCTTATGTCACACACTATATAGCTGTCAATATGAACCGCAACAACGCCTCCTACTGCGTCAGCGGCAAGTGTCTGGTGAGTGCTACGTATGGGGAATGATCTCCAGTCAGTGCCTTATGTCACACACTATATAGCTGTCAATATGAACCGCAACAACGCCTCCTACTGCGTCAGCGGCAAGTGTCTGGTGAGTGCTACGTATGGGGAATGGTCTCCAGTCAGTGCCTTATGTCACACATTATATAGCTGTCAATATGAACCGAAACAACGCCTGATACTACGTCAGCAGCAAGTGTCTGGTGAGTACTACGTATGGAGAATGATCTCCAGTCAGTGCCTTATGTCACACACTATATAGCTGTCAATATGAACCGCAACAACGCCTCCTACTGCGTCAGCAGCAAGTGTCTGGTGAGTGCTACGTATGGGGAATGGTCTCCAGTCACTGCCTTATGCCACACACTATATAGTTGTCAATATGAACCGAAACAACGGCTTCTACTGCGTAAGCGGCAAGTGTCTGGTGAGTGCTACGTATGGGGAATGATCTCCAGTTAGTGCCTTATGTCACACACTATATAGCTGTCAATATGAACCGAAACAACGCCTTGTACTGCGTCAGCGGCAAGTGTCTGGTGAGTGCTACGTATGGGGAATGGTCTCCAGTCAGTGCCTTATGTCACACACGATATAGCTGTCAATATGAACCGCAACAACGCCTCCTACTGTGTCAGCGGCAAGTGTCTGGTGAGTGCTACGTATGGGGAATGGTCTCCAGTCAGTGCCTTATGTCACACACGATATAGCTGTCAAAATGAACCACAACAACGCGTCCTACTGCGTCAGCGGCAAGTGTCTGGTGAGTGCTACGTATGGGGAATGATCTCCAGTTAGTGCCTTATGTCACACACTTTATAGCTGTCAATATGAACCGCAACAACGCCTCCTACTGCGTCAGCGGCAAGTGTCTGGTGAGTGCTACGTATGGGGAATGATCTCCAGTCAGTGCCTTATGTCACACACTATATAGCTGTCAATATGAACCGCAACAACGCCTCCTACTGCGTCAGCGGCAAGTGTCTGGTGAGTGCTACGTATGGGGAATGATCTCCAGTCAGTGCCTTATGTCACACATTATATAGCTATCAATATGAACCAGGAGCGTGGTGGTGTTGTTTTTCAAGAAAGGCGATAAAACCCGCTTGAAGAACTATCGACCTATCTCGCTCTTGAGCCACGTCTATAAGTTGTTTTCGAGAGTAATTACAAATCGACTTTCGCGCAGGTTCGACGACTTCCAGCCTCCCGAACAAGCCGGTTTTCGAAAGGGCTTTAGTACCATGGACCACATACATACGCTGCGTCAGATCATACAGAAGACCGAGGAGTATAATCGGCCTCTGTGTCTAGCGTATGTGGACTACGAGAAGGCCTTCGATTCGGTCGAGACTTGGGCGGTGCTGCAGTCCCTCCAGCGGTGCCAAATTGACTATCGATATATCGAAGTGTTGAAGTGTTTGTATAGAAACGCCACTATGTCAGTCCGAATCCAGGAGAGAAGTACGAAACCGATTCCATTGCAGAAGGGTGTCAGACAGGGGGACGTGATTTCCCCGAAACTGTTCACCGCTGCATTGGAAGACGTCTTCAAGCTTCTGGATTGGACCGGACTCGGCATCAACATCAACGGCGAATACATCTCTCACCTTCGATTTGCAGACGACATCGTGGTTATGGCAGAATCCCTGGAGGACCTTGGCACAATGCTCAATGACCTCAGCAGAGTTTCCCAACGAGTTGGTTTAAGGATGAACATGGATAAAACCAAGGTCATGTTCAATGTCCATGTCACTCCAGCACCAGTATCTGTTGGGAATGCGATTCTCGAAGTTGTCGATCATTATGTCTACCTAGGACAAACAGTCCAGTTGGGCAAATCCAACTTCGAGAAAGAGGTCAACCGACGAATCCAACTCGGATGGGCAGCGTTCGGGAAGCTTAGGCACATCCTTACGGCCAAAATTCCCCAGTGCCTGAAAAGAAGGGTCTATGACCAGTGTGTGTTACCAGTGATGACTTATGGGACTGAGACGTGGACTCTGAATGTCGGCCTCATAACAAAACTCAGAGTCGCGCAGCGTGCTATGGAGAGGGCTATGCTCGGTGTTTCCCTACGTGATTAAGATCCGAAATACGGAGATCCGTAGAAGGATCGGTGTGTACGACATAGACCGAAGAGTCAGCACGCTGAAATGGCAATGGGCAGGCCACATCACTCGAGGATCTGACAACCGTTGGGTAAGAAAGGTCCTCGAGTGGCGACCACGTACCGGACGACGCAGCGTGGGGCGGCCCCCAACAAGTTGAACTGACGACATCGTCAAATATGCTGGGGGCCGCTGGATGCGGATAGCGCAGGACCGCGCATTGTGGCGTTTTATGGGGGAGGCCTATGTCCAGCAGTGGACGGAGAAAGGCTGATGGATGGATGGATCAATATGAACCGAAACAACGCCTTCTACTGCGTCAGCGGCAAGTGTCTGGTGAGTGCTACGTATGGAGAATGATCTCCAGTTAGTGCCTTATGTCACACACTATATAGCTGTCAATATGAACCGCAACAACGCCTCCTACTGCGTCAGCGGCAAGTGTCTGGTGAGTGCTACGTATGGGGAATGATCTCCAGTCAGTGCCTTATGTCACACATTATATAGCTGTCAATATGAACCGAAACAACGCCTTCTACTGCGTCAGCGGCAAGTGTTTGGTGAGTGCTACGTATGGAGAATGATCTCCAGTCAGTGCCTTATGTCACACACTATATAGCTGTCAATATGAACCGCAACAACGCTTCCTACTGCGTCAGCGGCAAGTGTCTGGTGAGTGCTACGTATGGGGAATGGTCTCCAGTCACTGCCTTATGTCACACACTATATAGCTGTCAATATGAACCGAAACAACGGCTTCTACTGCGTAAGCGGCAAGTGTCTGGTGAGTGCTAAGTATGGGGAATGATCTCCAGTCAGTGCCTTATGTCACACACTATATAGCTGTCAATATGAACCGCAACAACGCGTCCTACTGCGTAAGCGGCAAGTGTCTGGTGAGTGCTAAGTATGGGGAATGATCTCCAGTCAGTGCCTTATGTCACACACTATATAGCTGTCAATATGAACCGAAACAACGGCTTCTACTGCGTAAGCGGCAAGTGTCTGGTGAGTGCTAAGTATGGGGAATGATCTCCAGTCAGTGCCTTATGTCACACACTATATAGCTGTCAATATGAACCGCAACAACGCCTCCTACTGCGTCAGCGGCAAGTGTCTGGTGAGTGCTACGTATGGGGAATGGTCTCCAGTCAGTGCCTTATGTCACACACTATATAGCTGTCAATATGAACCGCAACAACGCGTCCTACTGCGTAAGCGGCAAGTGTCTGGTGAGTGCTACGTATGGGGAATGATCTCCAGTCAGTGCCTTATGTCACACACTATATAGCTGTCAATATGAACCGAAACAACGGCTTCTACTGCGTAAGCGGCAAGTGTCTGGTGAGTGCTACGTATGGGGAATGATCTCCAGTCAGTGCCTTATGTCACACACTATATAGCTGTCAATATGAACCACAACAACACCTCCTACTGCGTCAGCAGCAAGTGTCTGGTGAGTGCTACGTATGGGGAATTATCTCCAGTCAGTGCCTTATGTCACACACTATATAGCTGTCAATATGAACCGAAACAACGCCTCCTACTACGTCAGCGGCAAGTGTCTGGTGAGTACTACGTATGGGGAATGGTCTCCAGTCAGTGCCTTATGTCACACACTATATACTTGTCAATATGAACGAAACAACGCCTGTTACTGCGTCAGCGGCAAGTGTCTGGTGAGCGCTACGTATGGGGAATGGTCTCCAGTCAGTGCCTTATGTCACACACTATATAGCTGTCAATATGAACCGCAACAACGCCTCCTACTGCGTCAGCAGCAAGTGTCTGATGAGTGCCACTTATTATTATTTCAGATTTTTTGGGCTATGCAGACTATGGAACTATGGAACCAATGCTCGCCTCAACGTCGTTGAACTGTCATAAAATATATCCAGATACTCATTGTTATTTATGAATTGAATAAATAGGTGACAGAGCATGCAAGATAACTATTTAGACGATAGTTCGTATAGACTAAGCGAACTTGCGATTTGAAGTTATTAACGTTATCTCTTTCCCCACAGGAATTCGGTCCAGACAACACCCCTTTATCCGAGATGGTATACACATTGCCTCTATTGCCCCGCACTAGCGTTATATCTCGGCGCGCGCGCAGCCTCACGCGCCGCGTCACTGTACGCACCTCCATCGACCCCCAGCAGCTGCGCGACATTATAGCGGCCCTCAACCTGTCCCGTGAGTATCCCACTAATATTATAAAGCCGAAAGTTTGTGAGTGTGTATGTTTGTTACTTCTTCACGTCTTAACGGCTGGAGCGATTTGAATAAAAATTGGTATGGAGTTAGCTGACACTCTGGATTAACACATGAGCTACGTTTTAGTGCGGGGAAATATCCCTAATAAACCGCGGGTAATACTACGGGGCACAGCTAGTATAACTATATAGCTGGATACTCCCCTAACAACTAGCCCAATCTGTCGGTATGTGACTATACAGGGTGTGACAAAAGTCCGAAATAAAACTTTAGGGTTTGGTTGTGTTCCTTGTATAGAATTACCTACGAAAGTTTGACGCCTTTCAGACCACTTTTATTTTCTAATTAAATTAATAAAAATATCGTTTTACACCTGCCTATGACAACCCTATGAATGTGTACGATTACTAATATACGATACCTAAACAGACCCCCCTCTCTCCCCCAGGCGCCCCGGCGCCCCGCTCAGATACCTACAAATTTTTATTTCGGAATACATAGCTACAAATTTTATTTCGGAATTCTGTAACACCCTGTATAGTGCCTCTACTACCACCTGCAGCAGCTGCGCGACATTATAGCGGCCCTCAACCTGTCCCGTGAGTATATAACTATATAGCTGGATACTCCCCTAACAACTAGCTCCATCTGTCAGTATGTCACTATATAGTGCCTCTACTACCACGCACTAGCGCCATCTGCCGGCGCGCCTCAATACACCCGCAGCAGCTGCGCGACATTATAGCGGCCCTCAACCTGTCCCGTGTGTATATCACTATATAGCTGGATACTCCCCTAACAACTAGCTCCATTGTCAGTATGTCACTATATAGTGCCCCTACTACCACGTACTAACGCCGTCTGCCGGCGCGCCTCAAAGGCCCGCAGCAGCTGCGCGACATTATAGCGGCCCTCAACCTGTCCCGTGTGTATACCACTATATAGCTGGATCACACGCTCCCCTAACAACTATAGTCGCGGTACGATATGATGGCTGTTTTGAAAGATTGCAATAGTGACGTGAAAAGTCAATTTGTTATCGAACAAAATCTAATTTAATCGAATGCGATTCCCAGCTAGTAGGTATTATATTTTATTTTAATTTAAATAAACATTGCAAGAATATGCTGGTTATAAAAATTTAATAAAACGAAAACATAAATGTTACACAATCATGTCACATCAAAACTCACGAGTCACATTTAGCTATTTTATTGATTTCATGTTTTCACATATTGAATTTCCAAAAAAAAACAATTTCCGAATCATATGGCTAATAAGTGCACCATCATGTTTATGATATAACAATTCATAATGATAATAACCATAAAAGAAATAATTAATTTAATTAACTTATTCCTTCAAAAGGTATTACATTTAATTGTTTTAAACTTGGTTTTCGAAATCTTGACGTAAAATTAGACCATATCATAAGATAGTTTTGTAATATTTTAATTGTACGCCCCAAAATTACCAATTCCATCAATTTTTATGACTATATTTTATATTATGGATAATTATATTTTTATGAATAATGTTATTAAAACGCAAGATATCCTGTACGGACCGGCCCGGCTCGTTGATCGCAAGATGGTATCGCTTTGTCTCTTTCTATGCAAATGACAAGGACGGGTAATTGCGTCACCAGCTGCACCATCAGACAGCTTTCTTCCCAATTCGAAATAAAGAAAGCACTTTCCCTTTAACATGTAATTAAAACACATTAATTTTCCGTCCACAGTACACAACAGCAACGACCACATGTATTCAGATTCAATCCCCGACAACATTGAGGTGGACTTCACCAACCCCATACATATCGCACCTGAGGACACGCTGCTCAGCAAGAAACCAAGACCGACTTGGGACTGAACCAGGGAACTGGCAATATCAACAAGGATCTTCCTATCAGAGCCGCAAGCAGGAACTTTGACATATCCGCAATCGTCAAAGTTTCTATTGAAACTACGCAGCGCCACCTACCAGGCGTAAAAACAAATTGGCTCATGCCATAGAAACTGAAGATGGCGAAACGATGGGTATCTGTCAAAGGTCGTGCATAAGGTACTCTACCCTTAGCACAAACCAATATCAAATTCTTTACATAAATTCTAAACTTGAACAGCGCCACAACGGACGTTACGAGAATTAAAAATCAGCAGCACTAAATTTTTGACGTTTGACGCGTATCGGGATCAAATGTTAACTACTTGAGTTCGATAATGGTTCGTGCTTAGGATACGGGACTAAAATCGTAAATGGGACGTCAGCCTTCCTGCCTGCCTAACTAAATTCAATAAAAGGCTACCATCCTACCAACGCACTTGGTTCCTAGGTTTACCATATTGCAAATCTCATTTGTGTCATCTGAGCAGGAGAATATATCGATCTACTGTTTATTTTGGTAGGGGAGCTTGACTCGAGCGCGGCAGAATACCATAAGGAGGGCTAACTTAAGCGTTATTTTTAATTAATATCCCTCCAGTAGCTTCTATTCAAAAGACTGCCGATGTTGCCGCGACCAAAGTAGGGATGATCGATATTAGAAAAACATCGATGTTAACATCGAATCAAAAGTATCGATGTACGACAAATATCGATAGAAAAACATCGATATGTTTAAAACATCGTTTTTTTTTTAAAATAAAACTATCTATTAAAATATAATATGAAATGATTTATTTATTAGATAGGGTGTCTCGGTAAGAGTGTACTTTTTAATATTAAGATATAAACACGTATTTTTTGAGAGAGATGTAATGTTTTTATTGGATTCTAAAGTAGATTGGGTTCCGATTAAACATGAAATAAAATATTTGGCCCCCCACGGCCCTGATGACAGGCTATCTAAAAGGGCTCCATTTTTAATAATGAGAGTAAACGTAGATGTATGTAATTAAAGTTGACAGTATTTTATTTATCTCTTGAGAAATGAAAACAAACTTATTCGTACATAATACGGCTTTGGGCTTACTCCAATTATTTTGATCAGTGTCATCCAGTGGAAAATATGTAGTTGTAACTTGATAGTCATCTGCTAATGATTATGCAACATTTAGTTGAAGCTAGTACACCTAATGCACGCCAGACGGCACCCAAAAGCATAATTGACGTTTCGATATTTTATTCTAGTAACATCGATGTTTCGATGATATCGTAGTCAACCTATCGATGTTAAAACATCGATGTTTTCCAGTTAAACATCGATGTTTATTCAACATCGATGAATATCGATCATCCCTAGACCAAAGGTTTGTAGATTTTTTTTGCTGCCCTACATACAGGACTCAGTTATGGTGGGGGTACTTCACAAGGTACATGGCACTTATGCTATTCTGCCTCGCTCGGGTAAATCCAGAAGTCCCCTATAATAGGGGTGATGACGGGGTACAGTAAACGAAATTCTATTTAGTCTGTCAGTTAGATGATCAAAAAATAATGTACACGTATTTTTATCTTTGGGCAATCAACCAAAAAATGACAAAGTTATAGCGCGTCAAAGTTTGGGAGTAGGGGAGTTTCGTAACGTCACATTTTAGTGAATTTTCACTTAAAAGTGTACTAAAACGTGACGTCATGCGACTTTTCAAATCAATATATCTCTGCAATGTTTATATTATGTGAAAAAAGAAAAAATACGTGTCCAATAATTTTTTGATAATCTACCTGATAAACGAAGAAAAAAAAATAGTCATCATCCCTATTTTTAAAAACCAAGTTAGCGACAGTTTGATGCTTAATCACGCTACCTGATGAAATTATAGCCAGTAAAGCAACTATATTAATTACCCTAGATACACAATGTGCGCTCAAAATGTGTCCCAATCAAGAAGTGTTTGAACACGACTCAAGCACTTCTTGCTTCACAGTCACGCGCAGACCATTGAAAAGTCAAGATGCCGCAGAGCTCCGTGAAAAAATGCGACAAAAATACTTATAGTACATAATGTAGAGTATCTCGATGGCGCAAGTGGTTAGCGCGTTCGGCTGCGGTCGTTGAAGTTAAGCAACTTTCGCAGTGGTTGGTGATTGGATGGGTGACCAAAAATTTACTATCTCGAACTCCTCCGTGCTTCGGAAGGCACGTTAAGCCGTTGGTCCCGGCTGCATCTGCAGTCGTTAGCACCCACCAATCCGCACTGAGCCCGCGTGGTGGGTCAAGGCCCAATCTCCCTATTCCATCCATAGGGAAGGCCTGTGCCCCAGCAGTGGGCACATTAATAAGCTGATGATGATGATCGTTTTATGGACAGGTATCTAATCAATGTTTGTTAATTTAACGTTTTGAAGCGATTTTTGTTCTAATACTTACTATAAACTGATTTAATAGAAAATATTTGAGATAAACAAATGCATAGTCGGTTATATAATCGTCTCTTTTCCTCGCGGTCCGTACCTGCTATATTACTAACAGCGCATTCAGAATTGCGCGTAAAGTCAAAGACATAAGGTCTATATTCTTCAGCATATAGCAATAAGTCGTAAAATTTTACAAACTTGTATTTTCCACAGTCATATCTCATTGACGCATACGTTTTAATTAAGACCTTATATAGTATGCATTAAAGGTGACTTTTAATGTTTAAATAATGCCTTAATATATTGTTTTTGAATACGCGATCATCTTACGGAGCTCCGTGGATCGTTCAATGTACCTTTTGGACAGGTTTCGGCCACGATTTTGTTCGCATTGTTGTATCTAGGGTATTTAATATTATTGCAGTAAAGTAACAAATAACTGTGCATAAAATACGAAATTTTATCTAAAAGTTATTGCAGACTTAACTATATTTAGGAATTAATGATTGGAGAAACACCTTTGACATACGTAAACGTAAAATATTGAATGCGATCAAGACTGAGAGAGCTCTCTTATGAAATAAGTAGATAATTCGTAATTGTATTTCATTTATGAATGATTCAATATTATGACCTTCATTCGAATCTTATAATTTACCGGATTTCAAACTCAAGTAAAAGAGTTTCGAAAACGCCTTCTTTTACTCAGATTGTGAGGTAGTTATATACGAATTTGTCAGGTATTTTGTGCATCCAGTTTGCGAATTTATATAAAAAAAAGAGTAATAATTTTGTGTAAGTACCAGATATTTGTTGATTAACAACTGTTGGCTATTATTTTTAACAGAATTTGTTGTAAAAAATTACTGGCACAACTTGTCTCTGGTAATGTTATATCTCAATGAGATAAGGTAACTAAATTGGATGTTAGCTTAGATGAAAACAAAAAGGGAAGATACGGCACTCGCGGATCAAAAGTGTACCGCTTAAATTGTGGTGCATGACCACAATTCGCTTTAGTCACAATTTGACATCCAAACACGCTGAATATGCACTCAATATAACAACATTGCGTATATTCTGTGTTATAAAGATAAAACAATGCCTTCGATGCATTTAAAAAGAACACAAATAGTTCAAGATCAAGTAACAAATTCTACGGCAACACTTTTTATTTGCAATACTATAAAATCATTATTTTCTGAAAAATCACGGTTTGTCATAAACGCTATTTGCGTATTTGCCATTTGTTATCAAGAAAAGGACAACAATACAGCTCAGCCTTTTGGAGAGAGAAAACAGAAAATGCAGTCGGCTGCCAAGCGACGCGGACTGACCGTTTCGCTCACGCTGCGTTGAAGCGTACAGTTCTGTCTCGCTCGCTCGATTCAATGTTTATTTAAAGAAGTGTGCGTGTGTGAGAGTTGTTTATGTAGTTTAGTCGGATTATGTTTTATCTGATGCTAGTATGAGCGTACCGTATCTTCCCTTTTTGTTTTAATCTAAGGATGTAAGTGATAAAAATGATTCCTTGTCTGTCTTCAATCATTCATGTCTTTAACTGGTGGGAATAAAAATGGACGATTCAAAAGAGTTGTAATTTGCATCCACTTTTAATAAAGATATTTTGTCTTTCGACATTATGTATGTATTATTATCCTGGATACTGGATACTGTACTATGGATACAGTATCCATAGTACGAACTCTACATAGTTTGAGTAAGAATAAAGAGATGACTATCGCTTTTTCTCCGTCTATCAGGCAGATTAATAAAAAGTATTGGACACGTTCTTTTTTTAACACAATCAAAACATTACAGAGATATGTATTTTGATTTGAAATGTCGCATGGTGATTCCTGAAACAGTTTTTACTTAGAAGTGACGTCAAGGGGCCCCCAGTCCCAAAATTTGCCGCGCTTCATCTTTGTATTTTTTTTGGGGTGATCGACAAAAGAAAAAAATATGTGTCCATTATTTTTTGATAATTTAACTGATGGGCTAAATACAATTTCATTTACTTTATTTACCCTATCATCATCCTTGTTATGGCTCAATTACATTTGGTCGTTAGGGCGTATTCGGGTGCACGAAGCAATATTTATAATGGAAGTTAAGACTACTTGGAGTTAAGGGCTGGAAGACGGGTAACCAAAACAAAATCTACTCGACTCCCTTCATTGACACTTAGTCGTTTTCCCGAATAGGGTATTTGACAAGTTTTGACAAGTTTTAGAAAACGATCTCACGTTATTGACTAATGTTTATAGAGTACATAAAAAGTGGATGTTCATCATTATGTTGTGTATTTCGGTAAGAAAACTAAATCAAAAACTCTATTTTCAAGTTGCCGCGAAAAACGTATCTCTGGACAATATGGCGTCTTACTGGTGTGTGACGTCACACGACTGTCATTGAAACGTCAAACCATACAATCTAATGTCACTTAAACCGGAAGTTTACTTGCGTGTGACGTCATTTTAGGTTCCATCAATCCCAAGCGTTTTCAGCGGTCACGTGACAAAAGACAAGAAAACTATTATCTTTATCGTGGGTTTTTAGTAAAATTATGAATATTTTTTCTGTAAAAATAGTAAAAACTCCTGCCAATATTCATTCTAAATACAGATGCTAACAATTGGCACTTTATTTTTAATACTGTCAAATACCCTATCGCGCCATTAGAACGATTTGTCGGGAATTTGTTATGAGTCTATCGCGAACTGGATCTCACAAGTCTTTATTGAACAGCCTAAAGGGTTTGCTCATGCTCAAACAAAAATAGTGAGTCCCAATGTATAATGAGTTGACCTGTGCAGTCAATGCAAAAATTTACCAACTCTACTCACTAATTGACTGTTCATCTATTGTGATCAAATGTTTAGTATTTATTTAGAGAAAATTTTATATTTTTTAATGATGTAAGTAGTATTATTTTAGTAATAAAATAAAGACATTTTAAAGATTTAAAAAACCTGAATGCGTTTTATTTTTGTTTAAATTTTAGACAAACAAAGGACACCCGGCATTTTGCGCCAGTTGTATACTTTTTTAATTTTTATATCTGTGTTTCATAATTGGGTAACGTAGTCTGGCAATATTTGTCATCAGCAGCTAGCTGTCAATGTCAAATACGTAGATTTGTCATCAAAAGGGTTTCTATATCAAAATAATATTTATCATTAAATAACTTCTTTCCACGATTCACTAAAAATAAGGCAAAAGTAGTTTTATGCAGCAAATAATTTTGGCTTTATTTTGAGACCAAATTCAACTGTATACAAGTTTAGCATTTTTTCTATGAAAAGTGCCGGGTCTCCTTTTACGGTATAAATTTCGTGGTAGCATTTAAGGCACTGTGGTACTTAAGTGGTCGATATAAAGTACTTTTTTGATTGAAAGTTATAAACATTATTATAAATAACTTTTGCCTTGCACTCCTTTGACTGCCGCAGCGAGTTTAGACGGATCTGTTATGAACCACTGCCACAGTTTTCTCAGGTGATGTTTGTCGTCATTCTGTAATAGAAGAATATAAAATTTCATTATCACAACTAACCATTACAAAAGTGCAATCACTGCGTTAAAACTGCGATCGATTTTGAACCAGCTATAGCAGAGGAACTCGATGACGCAGGTGGTTAGCGTGGTCGGTGAATGATCGTAAAATTTAAGTAATTTTTACAATGGCCATATTAAATGGATGACAATAGCCGGTCATTGGATGGGTGACAATGGTCAGTCATTGGTTATGATGGATAATGGCCGGTCATTGGATGGGTGACAATGGCCGGTCATTGGACGGGTGACAATTATCGGTCATTGGATGGGTGACAATGGTCGGTCATTGGATGGGTGACAATGGTCGGTCATTGGATGGGTGACAATGGCCGGTCATTGGATGGGTGATAATTATCGGTCATTGGATGGGTGACAATTATCGGTCATTGGATGGGTGACAATTATCGGTCATTGGATGGGTGACAATGGAAGGTCATTAGGTGGGTGACAATTATCGGTCATTGGATGGGTGACAATTATCGGTCATTGGATGGGTGACAATGGACGGTCATTGGATGGGTGACAATTATCGGTCATTGGATGGGTGACAATGGAAGGTCATTAGATGGGTGACAATGGCCGGTCATTGGATGGGTGACAATGGCCGGTCATTGGATGGGTGATAATTATCGCTCATTGGATGTGTGACAATTATCGGTCATTGGATGGGTGACAATGGAAGGTCATTAGATGGGTGACAATTATCGGTCATTGGATGGGTGACAATGGTCGGTCATTGGATGAATGACAATGGCCGGTCAATGGATGGGTGACAATGGCCGGTCATTGGATGGGTGATAATTATCGGTCATTGGATGGGTGACAATTATCGGTCATTGGATGGGTGACAATGGTCGGTCATTGGATGGGTGACAATGGCCGGTCAATGGATGGGTGACAATGGCCGGTCATTGGATGGGTGACAATAGCCGGTCATAGGATGGGTGACAATGGCCTGTTATTTAATGGGTGACAATGCCGGTCATTGGCTGGGTGACAATGGCGAATCATTGGATGGGTGACAATGGCCGGTCATTGGGTGGGTGACATTGGATGGGTCCCAAGGTGCTTCAATGGCAACCTCGCACCGGGAAGCGCAGTACCGGCAGACCCCTCACGAGGTGGATTGACGACTTCAAGCGAATCAGGGGGACCCACTAGATGCTGAAAGCGTAGGATCTTTCCATATGACGACCTCCGTGGCCGAGTGGTTTATATGCCGGGTTTCATGGTGTCACCGCTCGAGAGGTCCTGGGTTCGAATCCCGGTGGAGGCAGATGTTTGTGTGATGAATACGATAATTTTTACACCAGTCATGGATGTTTAATATGTATTTCTATATAAATAGACTTATATATTTCCACACTTTAACATGGGTGTGTTTTCTGCATGTAAAGTTTTTCCAGTAACATTTTCTTAAGATTTATAAATGTAGCAATTTAATGCATAAATTACCTTGACTTGCGTATACAGGGAGCTGACAGCGAGCACTTTGCTGTCAGTTTTCTGAAGTTCTTGTTGAAGGCGATGTTGTAGCGACGCGGCGCCCGCGTCGTAGACGCGTGGCTGTTTAGTGCAACCTTCGTAGACAGATTGTTTCAAGGGAAGACTGGCAACGCGGCTGTCATAATGAGAAAAAGGTTTAATAATAACACAAAAAGTAAGAAAAGTTTTACTAAATAAAACTAGTTTTAACGGGTTAATGCACGAACTTTAATTATTTATTGACGTTTCGCAGCCCAGTTCAGGTCTGCATCGTCAGAATATTTTTTTTTTAGTTTGTCGAGCTACCTTCGAAAGACTTTTATTGAGCGTTCGGATATTTCATTGGAAGATTTTTAAAACTTTATTGTCTATGTATGAATTTATTAGTTAAAGTTTTAAAAATCTTACAATGAAATATTCACGAACGCTCAATAAAAGTCTTTCGAAGGTAGCTCGACAAAGTAAAAAATAAATAAAGTTCGTGCATTAACCCGTTAAAACTAGTTTTATTTAATGAGTGATGTGCGTGAAAACCTAAGAACCAAAAAGTATTACTACCAAACCAATAGAAGAATTACACAACACAGATCAAAAGAAAATTAATGAAAGTGTTATACATACATTTCTTCCAAAACTGCTTCTTTCTTCTTAAACATATCTTCTATATCGCCGCCAAATTCTTTAATTGTGTTATGTAGCTCACTGTAAGCTTTAACCAACGCTACCGCATCACTATTGGGCGGCAGAGACAGCATATCGCAGAGTGCAGTGATTAGAGGGTCACAGGTTCGAAGCTTCTCTTCCGACGCTGCTTGTTCTAAAGCTATCATGTTCATCGATTCCTGAAGAGATTTTAGATACATTAGAAAGAAGAAGAAAATATTTTACAATAAAATAACGAGTGTACTAATGACCACACGACTGAAGTGAAACTTCTTTAGCTCCATCTGTATGTATATATATATGTGTGTGTACAATATCTACATGTATGTACGTATACATACTTCATTTACTATCTATAAGAGAAAGAAAGACAATATGCGCGAGCACTGCTTTCTCTTGCTTATATGCTTGCTTGTAACGCGTAACGCATTCGCCAGCTTACTCGTCTCTAGCACCCTGTAAACAGTGTCTGTACTCACGATTCTGTTGATAACAGCCTAGTTGTCTGCGGTGACGTATTGATGTAAATGTGTCTAAAGCTAAGTATGGTTACTTTCTCACATATAAGTCTGGGTTCCCTCGTCACTCTTAATGTTTAGAAACCTGTAAATAACGACATATCTATAGCACCCTGCAAACTGTACTGTCTGTCTGTACTCACGATTCTGTTGACAACAGCGTCGTTGTCCTCGGTGACGTATTGATGTAAATGTGTCTAAATCTAAGTATGGTTTCTTCTTATATACAAAGTCTGGGTTCCTTAGTTACTCTTAATGTTTAGAAACCTGTAAATAACGACATATCTATAGCACCCTGCAAACTGTACTGTCTGTCTGTACTCACGATTCTGTTGACAACAGCGTCGTTGTCCTCGGTGACGTATTGATGTAAATGTGTCTAAATCTAAGTATGGTTTCTTTATTGCATACAAAGTCTGGGTTCCTCAGTTATCCTTTATGCTCAGAAACCAGTAAATAATAACTCATCTATAGCACCCTGTTCACAGTGTTAGTACTCACGATTCTGCTTACAACCGCGTCGTTGTGGGCGGTGATGTATTGATGTAAATGTGTTCAAAGCTCAGTAGAGTATCTTTCTTACATACAAAGTCTGGGTTTCTCGTCACCCTTAATGTTTAGAAACCTGTAAATAAGAACTCGCCGTCCCCAAACCCGGTGACGCTGTAAATGCCATGCCAAAACACACTCAAAATAATCGCCTACAACACCCTGTAAACAGTGTCTGTACTCACGATTCTGCCTGGAGAACACCAAATACAATAAAATAACGAGTGAACTAATGACCACACGACTGAAGTGAAACTTCTTTAGCTCCATCTGTATGTATATATATATATGTGTGTGTACAATATACACATGTATGTACATATACACACTCAAAAAAATCGCCTACAACACCCTGTAAACAGTGTCTGTACTCACGATTCTGCTGACAACCGCGTCGTTGTGGGCGGTGACATATTGTCGCAGATGTGAAGCGAACTGTATCACCTCGTGGAGTGTGCGAAGTTCATGCCTCAGCGCGAAGTATAGCGCGCGATCTAAGGCTAAGGCGCGCTGGGTCGCTTCTTGAAGATTACTTATGTCGGTAAGCAACTGTCTGAATAAAAGCAAAATTAAAAATAAACTAGCAAACCAGTGAACCAAACGTTCAACAAAACCTGATTTAAAAAAAAATGTATTTAATTAATTGAGAACTTCGGAGATTTTGTGTGGTTTCGTTTGAAATTCGTGATTTCTCGAAAACCGGAAGTGCTACGTTACTCAAATCCGGTTTGTAGTCTTATCAGACTATTCTTAACTTATAACTTAAACATTCTCTTTATCTATCTCTTACGGTTTGGCGGCTGAAACAGCACCACAGACAGACAGACGGACGGACTTGTCTAATAGATAAGAGATGAGCGAGCCTTACAGTAGTCGCGTATGATGTGTAACATTTGAAACCTCACCTTATATTAGTAAAAAAAAGAAATAAAAGCCATTTGAACATTATGTTCTTAAATCAAATCAAATAGCGCGCGCTTCCCAAACTTCCTGTTACACACTTCCGTCCCACTTCACGTAATCACTCCCACAAATTGCACGAAAGCAAAAGGTGGGTTACACATCAAAAATGCGTGTGCGTCTCGGGCCGTACGACAGAAGTGGTAACTTAAAATAGCCTTTAAATTGACTTATTCTCGACAAGCCCAGCGACAGTCAGACGAACTATAGCTTCGAATTATTTTAAATAGGCATTAATTAAATAAGTGCGTATGCTCAATATTCAAACTGGCGTCTGTTTCCTTTCCTTTTTTTTTAAAGATAGTATAAGTTGTTAGTAATAAATATATTATGATATGAAGCATATTATAAGCATGTAAGCATATTATAGTAGGATAAAAGATTATGAGATAGTTATAGTTATATAAGCATGTTTAATATGTGGAGGTTTTTAAATGGCTTTTAGATATTGTTGTTTGTTTATTCAATAAGTGATTGATAGCTGTAAACCTTCCTAAAATAAAATAAATAAATAAATAAAAAAATCTAAAGAAAATATTAATGGTAATAAATTCCACGCGGACCAGGCAACAGACAGATAAGATTTTTGATCACAGAGCAGGTGCATTCGGTATACGATCTTATAAAACATCGATCGAAGTAGTTTTTGATCACACTCAGGCATCACACAAATAACACTATTTGTATTTACACTGTATGAGACAGCAATCAAAATGCAGGTAAACCATTAATGTGTATTTAATCATTATGTAATGAAAGGTGACTTCATGAATCATCTCTGAAGTCATTTTTCAATTGGACGACTCTGTAAATAATAAAACAGGGAGAAAAATACAGCCCTTGCTGAGTTTCTTGCCGGTTCTTCTCAGTACAAGGTCTCCCGCCGTAGATTTACGAAACGATGGCGTAGCTTCTAGACATTCATGAGTGCTCGTAACAGCCTAAACTGAATAAATGATTATGATTTTGGTTATCTATTAGCATAACCAGCTATTGATCTAACGATTACTTGTAATACGATGAATGGCAAGTTGATACAATGGGGTTTCGGTCAATTGTCACCGACCAACTGGCATTCGATATGACGTAGAAATGAACTTCTCTTAAACGACTGGACCGATTTTGATGAAATTTTTTGTGTTCGCTGGGTCAGCTAGTATATATATATATATATATTTACTTATATATATATATACACTCACAGAAGAATTATATATATAAAGATATACACCCGCCAATCCGCACTTGGTCCGCGTGGTGGGTCATGGCTCAATCCCCCTATTCCATCCATAGGGAAGGCCTGTGCCCCAGCAGTGGGGACATTAATAGGCTGATGATGATGATGATATATATATCTAACAGCCAATCAACTCATTCTTTAATAGCCAATAAACTTTCTCTCGAGGATCTTGATGTATAGAGCGTTCGGCGTGCGAACGTAGAAATTAAGCAACTTTGACAAATGGATGGGTGACCAAAACTAGTTATCTAGAGCTCCTCCGTGCTTCGGAAGGCACGTTAAGCCGTTGGTCCCAGTTGTATCTGCAGTCGTTAGCACCCACCAAGCCGCACTGGGCTCGCGTGGTGGGTCACGGCCCAATCTCCCTGTTGCATCCATAGGGAAAGCCTGTGCCCCAGCAATGGGGACATTAATTATCATAATCATTTATTCAGTTTAGGCTGTTACAAGCACATATGAATGTCTAGAAGCTACGCCATCGGTTCGTAAATCTACGGCGGGAGACCTTGAACTGAGAAGAACCGGCAAGAAACTCAGCAAGGGCTGTTTTTCTCTCCCTGTATTATTATTAAAAAAGTAGTCAAGTTGAAAAAAGACTCAGAGATGATTCATGAAGTCACCTTTCATTAAATAATGTGAAATTATACATTAATTGTTCACCTGCATTTTGATTGGTGTCACACAGTATAAATACGAATTGTTATTTGAACTAGGTGTATCTGAATATGTTCATCTTAAATAAGCTAAATAAGCTGGTAATGACGAAACTTACTCTCTGACAGCCAAAGCAGTCCTAGCAGTGGTCTCCACAGCAAGTCGGGTGCGATAATCTACCAAGTCCTTCACAGAATCCTGAATCTGCTGCAGTAGGATGCATTCCTCTTGTTCCAATAGCTCTATGGCACTCTGAGCCTCCATAGATAACGAACTGAGGGACAATTCAAAGTTATTCATCTTTGAAAATTTATGTATGGCAAACAATTTTAAAGTAGGAAAATAAACTTTTCTATAATATTGTAGGAATGCCAAAGGGGAAGATCTTCCTCCGAGCTGGGTGGTGGTAGCTCGGGGGCCGCGGCCCGACTGATGTTGGTCGGGCATCGTTTAAATGAAGAGTTAGCCTCCGAATTTCATTTGCGCGATGTAGGCTTCCATACTATTATGATCGCAGTGCAGGTAACGCCATCTCTTGAGGATGGTGAGTAATGATTTCCTCCATCCGTTGTATATATGTGGGGTATATAGATGTCGCCGCCACAATATGATCTATCCAATCATACAGCGGTATGATTTAAAAGACGGATTTACATTTAAGCAAAGGGGGGGGGGGGGGTGTTTCTTTGTGTAGACAATGACGACGACCAAATTTAACATCTTACATTTAAGCTAGGGGGGGGGGCAGGATGTTTTTTTGTGTAGACAATGACGACGACTAAATTTAACATCTTACATTTAAGCTGGGGGGGGGGGGGGGGGGGGGCTAGATGTTTCTTTGTGTAGACAATGACGACGACTAAATTTAACATCTTACATTTAAGCTGGGGGGGGGGGGGCTGGATGTTTCTTTGTGTAGACAATGACGACGACTAAATTTAACATCAATCTCTCCTTTTCCTTCTTTACAGACATTGGCAAGGATACACTGTTGTCCAATTTGTTTAGGTTAAGAGTTAGAGTACCAATTATAGACCAGGGTCGATAATTTTAAAAATGGTGAAAAGTGAAAAAAATTATAGTAGGATGAAACCCATTGGAAAAGGTAGACAATATAACAAAAGTTAAAGGAAAAATAAATTACGGGCGATCTGAGGTCAGGAAGGGGGAAGGGGTGAGTTTTTAAGGGTAAAAACCGGTTAATCTCGATTTCCGGTAAAACTGCAAGTCCTATGAAAAAAAGTTAAATGGCAAAGTTGTAGGTTATAAAAAGATCTACAACTTTTGTATCGACACTTTTTTCACATAACCTCAAAATTTATGTGAAAAATTCGAATAACCGACCGTTTTTGGATTTTTATTTTTATTTTATGCAAAAAAAATATTTTTTTTAACGAAATTTAGTGAACACTTACCTTTGTATGTCCCAAACATGCAGCATTTTTATATATTTAAAATATTAATTTTTTCACCTTATTTTGACTTAATATCGAAAAAGCACCCTTATTTACAATCGAAAAATCTCACGTCAAAATATCTGCTTTTTTAAAAAAGGTGGTGTGTTTTTTCTTTGTTGAAATCTCTGCTCTTTGATGATATAAAAAACAATATACACTACTATGGTAAATGTTCTCAGAAACTGCAAATTAATAATGATAATAACTCGAATCCTAAAATCCAATTTTTAATACCTACTTACAACAACTATTTTTGCATGTTTTAGGGATTTGTAATTTTTCTGTTTATCAATATAACATGAAATCTTACATTTTTCGAGTAATTAAAGTGTAAATTTTAATAAATAGTTCAAAATTATACATAATGATTCGAATCAATTTTTCGGATTGGAGTTTTTTTTTTAAAGATATAAGTATCTTTATATAGAAATACACATTAAACATCCATGACTGGAGTACAAATGCTTGTGTTCATCACACAAACATCTGCCCTCACCGGGACTTGAATCAGGGACCTCTGGAGTCGGCGACATCATGAAACCCGGTGTACAAACCACCCGGCTACGGAGTTCGTCTGATTATTCCAGAACAACAACAAGAAGTTAAAATGCTTGGTTTTTGGCTGATATATCTTGTTTTAATATTTAAAGGTAAGTATTAAATATTGGTGTTACCAAAACACTTCAACAGTAACATTATCATAATGAATAGGTAATACTTACACAATTTGACTAGGATGGACATTGCTGTAATTAGATACAAGGGCTAATTTCGCTTGCTGTCCTGACAGCTCAGCTTTTGCTTCAATATACATCAACATAGCATCCGATAACCTGTAAGAATAATTTATATAGTATTTCATTTTTATCTATTATAAAAATTATAGTATAGTAATAAAATCAACAAAAATAAGTACAAATATTACACGCTTAGTAAAACACTGACCTATTAGTAATTATTACATATTATATTATTTCTAAGCATACCTATATAATTTAAACAAATACTTTAAGCAATATAAATAAATAAATTTAACTGCTAATCTAAAGAAAATATTACTAGAAAAAATTCCACGTAATCCAGAAAGCAGACAGGTCTCGAACCCGCACTTTCCGCAATCCGGGCGGATGCCCTGACCAATTATGGTACTGCGACCTTACTGGCAGTGTCGAATTTCTTCTAGTATTTCTTGACACTTATAATGGAATACGGTCTGGAAGACAGTGTCGGGTAACAAAAACGAAAACTCGACTCCGTTCATTGTTACTTGGATTACAAGTTCTTGTTGATGCTTCATCTACCATTAACAGCCTATTAATATCTCCACTGTCGGGGCACAAGTCTTCCCAACAGATGGAATAGGGATATTGGGCCATGATCCACACGCAGGCCCCGTGCGGAATGGTGGGTACTAACGGCTTCGGAATCAGCCGGGACAACGGTTTAACTTGCCTTCCGAGGCATGGATGGTGAAACCTGAGGTGGTAAATTTTTAGTCACCTATTCAATGACCAACAGCAATCGCAGCCAAATATGGTAACCACTTGCACTATAAAGCTTCATCTATATTTGGATTTAAATAGAATGCTAGAAATGGTGTTGGGACAAGCTTTTTTTCTGTTTATGAGTGCTATATTTTATTTTTTAATTTATATATAATTACTAGCTAGCCCAGCGAACTTCGTACCGCCATAAAAAAATAGGGGTTGGTGGTAGAAAGTTGAAAATTTAGGGGTGTATGTATTTTTGTATGATGTATCATAAAAAAATTAAAAAAAAAATCTAAAATTGAAAAAAAAAATTTAGGGGTAGGGATTACCCTTAACATTTAGGGGGATGAAAAATAGATGTTGTCCGATTCTCAGACCTACCCCATATGCACACAAAATCTCATGAGAATCGGGAAAGCCGTTTCGGAGGAGTTAAACCACAAACACCGTGACACGAGAATTTTATATATTAGATACATTACCTATCTTCCATGCTCTTAGCACCGACAAGTGTTGCTCTCAAAACCTCATCAGTTACATTGTTATTCTGTCGCCCGCTGAACTTTTTACTGGTGTACAAGTCGAAGTGAGACCGGAACAATGCTTGTGTCTGCCTGTATGACTCAAATGGACCGAAAGTGAAGAATTTTTTTGATACATCCTATAAACAGAGAAGAGTTTTTACTGTAAGTGTATTCTTACTATTACATTTGTTGCAATTCATAAATTGGTGAGGGCACACAAGTATAAAGAAAACAGAAATTAATAAATAAGCAGAACCGATGACCACAATTTTACCAATTCATATCATTGCGTAATACATTTTGATATGATTATGGTTATCAAAAGCAAATCTTATGCTATGATATTTCTTAATTTTGTTCTTACATACTGTCTTCATTTAATAGGTTCAGAACAGTGACGTAGCATAGGTCACTAGCACCCGGTGCGGATTCCAAATTTGCCGCCCTCTTATTTTTGCAATCCATTATAAAAAAATTGAGGCATGGTAAAAAGAGTACTTTTATTGAATAACACTAACCTAAGAGTGAAATTAACATTTTTTGACATAGACACACTATACATTTTTTGACATAGACATGACTATCACAATATCACTTAGAAAAATTACAGAGAAAACGTAATACAATAATTCCTAAATAATAGTTATTGAGAAACCTTGCGCTTGCATCACCCATGCATAGAACCTGCATAGGTACCTGGGTATTTGGTAACAACAACAAAAAAATGACGAAAAAAAAACTGAAAGAAATTAACTTTTTTTTATATTTTAATTTTTTTTCTCTATCTGCCACCTCCGCAGCGCCGCCCCCGGCAAAGTGCCGCCCGGTGCGGACCGCACCCCCCGCCCCCCCGAAATATAAATATAGTTTTTTTTCATTTTCCATTATGTACTATCGCGGAATTTTGCACTCTGCCACTTGGCGAACAAAATGTTTGGAACGGTTTTCTACAGTAGTTTTTACTACGCCCCGCCTTCGCGTCCGACGGGGCAATTCGTGCCGCCGCACAAAAGTAAGACAGAGAGCATTTCATTGATTGAATGATGAATTGAATTGCATTTGTTTTAGTTGCACTTTGTCATCCGCATCGTGATCGCGACAGCGCTATACGAAAAAGTAAGACAGCGATAATTCCATGTCTATGAATGAATTTTTACTACGCCGCTACCGCAAGCGGTTATGGCATTATGGGTGACAGAGCGGGTCTTTCCGCGAGTGTACCTTATTTCCTGCAGTGTTTCTGTATAAGTCCAAAGTATCAGCGACCACAGCTATAACTTCCTCAGTGATATTTTCCACTTCATTAGCCAGACTGATGCACTCTTCAGCCACAGTAGATTCATCTTCAGCGCACTGTTGCTCAGCCGAATGGAGTTTTGTCACCTCCTGATTTAACTCCTCTTTTACCAGACTGCAAATAAGAAGTATTACAAAAAACCTGTTTTGCTCTTCTCATCATCAGCCTGCCTAATGCCCCACTGCTGGGGCACAGGCCTTCAATATGGATGGAATAGGGAGATTGGGCCATGACCCACCACGCGGGCCCAGTGCGGATTTGTGGGTGCTAACGACTGCAGATGCAGCCGAGACTAACGACTTAACGTGCCTTCCGAAACACGGAGGAGCTCGAGATAATTATTTTTGGTCACCCATCCCATGACCGACCACTGCGAAAGTTGCTTAAGTTCAGCAATCGCAGCCGAAGGCGCTAACCACTTGCGTCATCGAGCTCCTCTCTCTCGGCTCAGCTCTTCTCAGTCACATTTAATAACTCAGCGAGTTGGTTATAATCTGGTGATTGATCAGAGTTAATAATAATGATAGTAATAAAAAACAGGGTAAAACTGTACTTCCAGGGCCCAAAAGGTGATACTTGTTTTTTTTTTGTAGAAAAGGTCTTTTTAACAGTTTTTTTTTCTGGCGCTTCCCCGGCCGCTGCCGCGGCACGCTCGCTTTGCTCGCTCGGCTCGCGCGTTATGGTCACAACACTAACCTAACCTAGTGTGAAGTATTACCACTTGATAAGAAAAGTAAAAATTTTCAATATTTTTTTCCAAAAAACTACCAGTGCATAAGTGTGACATTTTTTTTAATAATGTGGTTAACCTCTCGGCGGCCTTAGCGCACACGCCCTTCACCTGATTTGCGCCGGCCACCTTCATGGGGCCCCGCGCGGGTTGGGAACGATTGCATTGTTTTGCCGATTTCTCTGTTATTTTGTAAGAATACCCTACCCAAACTATATATATTTGCATTCTCCATAAAATTTCCTATAAGATAGTGTCCACACAATGCTTCATGTCTATAATCTATTTTAATTACGTTACGGTAAACTCGGGAAAGATAAAAAAAAGGCGTTTAGATGGGTAAAATGGAGTATATTTTCAAAATTTTATTTCCAGATTTTTTGGTTATTTGCACATTCTATTATAACTTACCAAATAAACACATAAAATACTATACTCGCACAATTTAATTATACCTACAGCTCGTCACATTGCGCGCGCGCGCCGTTAATGTAAACAAACCGCGAAGTATAAACAGATCAAATTTCAAGTGGGTCGATAAGGATTTGGCCGGGCGTTTGAATGGCTGTAATTTATTACTCCATGAGCTCCGAGTGTTAAGATAACATTAGAACCAAGATTGTTTTGAATAACGTTTGTATATTTTTTAGGTTTAAGAACTTACAACGAGGCATTTAAAAATCGCCTACAAATCAGTCATCTCAGTATTATGTCTATAAAACGAAAAGTATTTTCAATTTTGATAAACAGTTTTTTTTATCAAAATGTACGCGAAATTTGCTTTAGAATAAACAAAAACTAATTACTAGTTCACATACAAGAAAATAATATAAAAAAATATTTCGTTCGTGTATTTGAATTTCGAACGACCGTTCCACCGCGCGGATTTTGTTTTTTTTTTATTTCTTCAAAAATACGAACTCAAGGGATTCTTTGTATTCGAAGTATTAATCATGAATAATTTATTCAATAATTAAAAATTAAAACATTACAATTATTATCGAAATTATCAAATGAAAACATAGGGTAAGTACCCCTAAGTTTTCGCTGATTTTTTTTGCGACCGCGTCTGCAAAAAAATTCTAAAAAAAAAAATTCACGGAGACCCGCAAACGAAACATCAAAATAGAGTAACTAAATGTATTTAACTTAACCAGGCATGGTGTTTTTTTTCTTTAAAACCACTCAAAAGCACTTAAAATAGTCTGAATACACGGCATATTTTTTTTCAGACAAAAAACGGCGAACGACGAACTTTGACAGATAACAGTATAAATATTTCATATGGCACTTGTTTTTATGAATGGCTAGATAGCTAGCCCGTTTTTTCCTCTAAAAATTGATATAAGAATGAAGGTGCTAGCAAAACAAAATGGTTGTAATATTTGCTACAGATTAGGTGGGTACGCGCGAAACCGAAAGTCGGTCGCGCAGCGCAAATGTGAAAAATGACAGAAACCGAAAGTCGGTTTCGCGGCGCACGAGAGGTTAACAGAAACCTTTTTAACAACAAAAATGCGAAATTACAACCAACAAAACTGTGAAGTTTTTACTTTTGGGCCCTGGAAGTACAGTATATCCAAAAACAGTTTCAAATAATGATAGGCAGACAGATTTATAAAATCCAGGGAATTTCAGTCAACAAATTTTTATCTACTCAAACTATTGAAAATATAATTACACATTTTAAATTCCATGCAGTCAATGATATTTATTTATCATTTATAATTTATTAATACCTGTAACAACCCTAGGTCACCCCCATAAAGGCTCGTCAACCCTACGAATTGCACGCTTGCGTGGTAGAGTCGAGCTGTGAGTAACCTAGTAATGCACTTGAGTGATAGTGGAGAAATATATTAATTTTACTAGGTAGAAGATGACTTGTGATTTCTGTTGTAACTTAATAATAAATGCTTAAGCAGTACTGCTGGCTCATTATAAACCTTTTTTAAACTTTTAGTTTGGTAATGGCTTGCAGTTTTCTGTTAATGATTACAGTCAGCACAGTTTATTTTTCTTCTCTATAATATTATAAGAAAGACAATACTTACTCATTCTGTTTTAAGAGATCTTCTAAAGCTTCTTCGTGTTTTTCCAGCATGTGCAATCTTTCTTTCAGCATGTTAATGTCAAATTTGACATATTCTATGGCATCCTTATCACCCGGCAGACAGAGGCCATCATATTCATTTTGTAAATTCATCAAATACTTTTCTAAATCTTCTGAAGACATTAGTTGGCCCTGTTTCTCTATTTCTGCATATCTGAAAGAATTGTTAGTACATGGTCTCATTTTTGTGTGGTATACCAAGTTTCAAGAATAATAACCACTATTTATTTATTTATTTTCTATAGGTTACACATTCTCAAGATTAATGTGACATTAAGTTAACCAAAACAGGTACAATCACAAAATTAAACGTATAAGAACGAAATATCAAATATTGGAGGAAAGTATGAATTATTTAAAGATTACAACCTGCATTCTTCTCGTGCACTGAGCGCGTTGTTATGGTCTAAATTATGGTATAACCATCTAAGTATGTCCGCAAAATCCTTCTCATTCAGCATCCATTCAAAGGATTTTTTATACGTTTCTACGCCGAGGCTTTGCAGGAAAGGAATAAATTCTTCGTCACATATCTCATTAAATGCTTCCATGATCGAATAATCCACAAATACTAACACTGAACAGGTCGAAGAAAGTTAAATTTAATAAATTATGAATTGTGGTCCGTTGTTTTTCAAATTGTTTGTTTTGATTTCGCTGTGGCGGGCGGAGCGGACGCCGCAAGGTGGATGACAATGACAGTGACAGTCACACAGTGTTGCCAGATGAGGAAATTAAAACTGCGGTAACGTGGATACAAAATCGTGTTTGTATTTTATAGTGGTGTCTTATTTTTTTAACATTTATATCAACTGTCTTCTTTTCATTCATAATAATTATAATTCATGATAATTTATTCATACAATGTCAATGGAAGAGTACCTAGTAGTAGAACAAAAAACCGGCCAAGTGCGAGTAGGAATGCACACGAAGGATTCCGTGCTGAGCAAAAAAATACACTATAAAAATATACAAATACATAATATGGGGTTCCCATACTCCTTCAATATTTATTTTGTTTTGTTTTCAGTATCTGTTATTCTAGACAGACGGGCACAAAGTTCGTAAACAAAAGATAAAACTGAAGTAAGCTGTTAAATCAATAACAAAGCAAGAAATCAAGAAAATGAATATACTATACGATATACGATATACTATACTTAGGACAAAATATTCCACTCGGTCGAGGCAGCAGGCGGGACGCGAATTCGCATCCTCCTTTATACGGGCGGATGCATTGACCAATTTTTGCTACCGCGACCTGAATAACCGTTTCGAAATTCTTCTAGTATTTCTTAGGCTGCATCGCAGCGCCATCTCTTCGAATTGAACCTAATTAAACCGCAATGTCAAACGAATACCTTTACAAGAAGACTACAGTCGTTTGGTGAGAAATATGGTGGTTATCTGGAAAGTTTTCCGGGAGTTCTGAAAATTGGTAATTTTATAAATTTTGAGGTGCTCTTTCCGAATTTCGCCTTTGCCACCTTGTATTTTTGCCGCTCGCGATGCCATATTGGAAAAATGGCGCCCAAAAGCAATTTTTTGACAATATCACCTTTCCGACTCATTTTACGATAAAAACAGTTGTATATACGATAAGTCAATAGTTTTGGCGTACGAGCGCCCCAAAGTGTACTCCAACGCGCATTGTGGCATCCACAAACTTTCTGACATTCATTTTTGCATTTGCAAGAAATGAGTTTTAACAAGCTTTCTGGAGCTAGGGGCTCGAGTGCAGTGACAGGAAATAGCCCATTCTTGTTTTTTTATTTGATTATTTATTCTTATATATATACATATATATATATTTCAAATAGGTCCAGTAGTTTTGGTGTCTATTCAATACAAACAAACAAATCATTCCTCTTTATAATATTAGTATAGATTTGCTGTATGAAACTAATAAGCGTAGACAAGTCAAGACTATTCCCGTCCAGTGACCGTAATAAATATCATTAAGGATCTTTTCTAACTATGCCAGTATGTGACAGCAGACAAATTAACGTGAACAAAAGATATTCCATGACAAACGGACGTCGATGTCATATTATGATCAAACTGCAGCAGCAGTTTTTTATGTCAACGTACGATGTGTAGAACTGCTTTAAATAAGGCAGAAAGAAAGAAAAAAACGGAAAAGTGGTACGTCTGGCAGCACTGCGACTGACGTAAAGTTTTTTCCCGGCTGCGCAATGCAAGAGCGCGAAGCGCGTCGCGCAGACAGGCTTATTTATATTTTCTCTATTTGGGAAGGCAAAGAAAATACAGGTGATACAGGCTCATTTTTGGTTTTAAAGGTTTTTTTTTATTATTATCTTAACAACTTTGGAAATTAACCATACAGCCAAAATAAGTTGAGTCATTTAAATTAGTGAACGTTAAATAAACGTAATGTTACTATGAATGTGACTGACATTTGGCCTAATGGCCTGATTCTAACATCGTAAACCAAAACTACTCAGTCTCTCCTTTTATTTTTTAAAGAGCATGATGACGGCCTCCGTGGTTTGAGTGGTATGTGCGCCGGGTTTCAAGGTATCGCCTACTCAGAGGTCCCAACTTTGCATCCCGGTAGGGCAAATGTTTGCAATTAAAAATAGAAACTGCGATTAAATAAAGTTGAGTCAGATACAATAAATATCTTTCAGTTGCGTAAAATAAAATTTTCTGTAATTATAATGTCTTCTATCGAATATCAAAAAGTGTATTTCAAGGTTTTTCTTAATTCTTTTTAAATAAATTGATTATGCTTCATACACTAGTTTCCACCTGCGTGGCGGTCGCGTTGCGGGTATTGACTGTTGAGACACTGCCAGGCGTGCCAAAGCGGTGGCGGTCGAGAACTGTGTCAGGCGTGGCGGTCGCGTTGCGGGTGTTGACTATTGACACACTACCAGGCGTGCTGGAGCGGTGGCGGCCGAGAACTGTGTCAGGCATGGCGGTCGCGTTGCGGGTGTTGTAGTTGACACACTACCAGGCGTGCTGGAGCGGTGGCGGTCGAGAACTGTGTCAGGCGTGGCGGTCGCGTTGCGGGTGTTGACTATTGACACACTACCAGGCGTGCTGGAGCGGTGGCGGTCGAGAACTGTATCAGGCGTGGCGGTCGCGTTGCGGGTGTTGTAGTTGACACACTGCCAGGCGTGCCGGAGCGGTGGCGGTCGAGAACTGTGTCAGGCGTGGCGGTCGCGTTGCGTGTGTTGATTATTGACACACTACCAGGCGTGCTGGAGCGGTGGCGGCCGAGAACTGTGTCAGGCGTGGCGGTCGCGTTGCGGGTGTTGACTATTGACACACTACCAGGCGTGCTGGAGCGGTGGCGGTCGAGAACTGTATCAGGCGTGGCGGTCGCATTGCGGGTGTTGATTATTGACACACTACCAGGCGTGCTGGAGCGGTGGCGGCCGAGAACTGTGTCAGGCGTGGCGGTCGCATTGCGGGTGTTGATTATTGACACACTACCAGGCGTGCTGGAGCGGTGGCGGTCGAGAACTGTGTCAGGCGTGGCGGTCGCGTTGCGGGTGTTGTAGTTGACACACTACCAGGTGTGCCGGAGTGGTAGCGTCGCGGAGGCGTTTCGGTCACTTCCGTGAGTTGGCGTCGCGTCGTCGCGTGTTTTGTAAAAAAATACTTAGGTACAACTGAATATACCGCTCGTAGCACTTACTCCATATACTTTAAGTAATACAATTATCACGGCGCATGCCTCGCCTCTACCACGGCACGTAACGGCCAATCGCCTGTTGCGATTGCTAGGACTATCGCTATCGCTTACGATTTCATTTTATTATTTCTGCGTCATGCTCGTGAACGGGTGCTGCCAGCGGATATGAGTCTGTCCTAACTACTTTGATATTTAAGATGTAGATGTCTAGTTACAGCACTATTTGTATTTATTTATTTATTAATTGTTTGGAAGACCAACAGCTATTAATAAAAATAATAAAAACTTAAATAATAATAAAAAAATATACTGTATGACACAGCAATCAAAATGCAGGTGAACAATTAATGTATAATTTCGCATTATGAAATGAAAGGTGACTTCATGAACATCTCTGAAGTCATTTTTCAACTTGACGATTCTGTAAATAATAAAACAGGGAGAAAAAACAGCCCTTGCTGAGATTCTTGCCGGTTCTTCTCAGTACAAGGTCTCCCGCCGTAGATTTACGAACCGATGGCGTAGCTTCTAGACATTCATGAGAGCTTGTAACAGCCTAAACTGAATAAATGATTTTGATTATGATTATTACTGCTACTGCGTTGAAAATGTTCATGTTGTTATACCTACGAGACGATTTAATCAAGTCAATTTGCACGGTGTCAGTAGTGTGAGAGGCAGGGAACACTCGGACCTATTACCCAATTCGGCAACCCTCTGAATTGGCACATCCTCGCTCTTGAACGTTGCCAAGTTCAAGGTCACTCGGAACAGTTAGCTGATGATGAAACATTTGTTTTGGTTTGCCCTCTATTCTTAGGCTCAACTCACACTGGCGAAGAGTCGAAGCGACGCAACGCGTTACGCGTTTGTGGCTGTTTATGGAAAGGACATGCAATCGAGAAAAAATAAATAGCCCTTGCTGAGTTTCTTGTCGGTTCTTCTCAGTACAAGGTCTCCCGCCGTAGATTTACGAACCGATGGCTGGCGTAGCGTTTGACTTTCACAAGGGCTTGTAACAGCCTAGACTGAATAAATGAGTTTGATTTTGAAAAAAATCCCTAACGATAAATAATGAACATCTTACATTTCATAGAAATGATTTCGCCCGTACGACTGAGGAATTAATCTCCACCTTACTTGCATCATCCTTTTCTGAGGGGATGATCGCACCAGATGAAGCCTGTCAGGCACTTATGCCCGTCCTCCCACGGGGATGATTAAGTCAGTAAGAGTCTGAAATTACCCTGCAGCAGGGTATCCATGAGGATTTCACACCCGCTCCCCAGCCTGGTAGGAAACAAAAATTCCACCGCACAGAAGACAATGGCCTGTCAGTGGCGTCTCCAGGGCAGGTGATGGGGTTAGAGGCATCGCAATATTCGTATTATTGGTATACGCAAGCGTCTTTAAAACCATGATAAATTTGTCAGACGGGCCCTTTGTGGATTGGCGGGTCTTAACAACAGCAGTACCCTTAGCACAAACTATTATCGAATTCGAAAAGTTGACTTTTAGAAAGTTGTATTTTATACGTCAAATGTGTACTGATTTTAAGTTTAAAAGAATTAAATATAATATCAGTTTCAACTCAAACTCAAAAACACCCCCAGCCTTTTGACAGAATCTTTATAGGATTAAGAAAATTTCTTAATTTAAATAATTGTTTATTCTTATTATCATTAACAAATGTTATATAATACAAATAAAAATAGAATTATAGTGTACTTATTCGCCACTTAATTCGGCATTGGTGTTATTCGAAATGTAAAAACATGAAATTCATAAGATCGTTACATAAAGGTTCGCTGAGCGTGAGTAAAAATGTATGTTTTCGTTTTATTCAATCTTTATAATCAGCAACATCATACAATATTGTCAAAAAAAAATAATGGAATACCTATGTGCCTTGTATTTGATTATATAGAATTATTTTCGATAACAGGTTGACTTTTCGCGTCACTACTGCAATGTGTCAAAATGGCATTATTATTATTAATAATGCCATTTTGGACTCTTTGGC